GAGAGAGAGAGAGAGAGAGAGAGAGAGTTTGAAATAATTCTTATATACAGTGATAACAAAATTGAAAGTAAATATCTCTAAAATAACTTCAGATGTCATCTGAAAGACACTCGCAATTATCGCCGGAAGGCATCACCACTTATACCAAAAAGCAATTATAAATTAGCTTTAAATCACTTCAAACATCACTTTCTCCAAACAAGTCTATAGTTTTGCCAAACATTTTGCTGTATTTTTAACAAGAAATTGATTTTTTACTCTTTTGTATTAATACTGTGTTAATAGAAATTGCAATAACAAACACCTATTTTAATCACAATTAACTTGTATGTAAACTACAAGTTAATTGTATTTATCAATTGAATACTAAATAGTTTTGTTAATATGAAATAAATGCCATTATTTATACCAAGTGCAAATTACACACATCCATCCCGACACAACATTACGACTATATTTATTAACTCCTTTTCCGATTCAATTTGCATATACTGTAACTTTTTTTGTTAATAGTTTTTAATAAAAAAGTGTTGCAAAACTATAACAACGGATTTATAACATAAAAATGAAATTACATTAAATAAAACTTTATGTAAAGTGAAATCAAAACATTTACAATAAAAAAATTCATATATTATCAATGATTAATTATGACATTAAATCATTTAATAAGTTATTTGTTTTATATTCTGATTGTTATATCGATTGTAAATAAAATTCATTGCAAGAAAAAGGGTATGAATTTTGAATATTATTTTTAAAATATACTATAAATTGTTATATTTTGAATACTCAGGCAAACAGCAAACCAGTGACACAATTGTCGAGGAAAGCCATCCTCGAAGTGGACTCATAGATGAAGGCGACGAAGAAGAGGCCGATGAGGAGGAGAGGGATGAGGTGGAGGCGGGAGATCAACGGCCCAATAAGCCGGGTCGGGGGCGTGGGAGGGGAGCATCCGGTGGTCTACCGCCCGGATTAGCCAAAAAACAGGGACAGCGACCCGATGTAAATGCAATTAAACTTAATTAAATGACAAATACTATATGTTTTTTGCAATTCCAGAACCAAAACCAGGGAAACAATAACAAGAAAAATAAAAAACCAAAAAACAAGGGAAATAAACACAATAACGACAATAACAACAACGGCAACGACAACAGACCCCGACCCCAGACACCGGCAGATACTGCCATCGAGCCCTCGGACGTAGAAATTAATATCCCAGCGTCTGAGTGGCGACAACTGGAGCGCCTGAAACACCACTGGGCCAACACAGCCCATACAAAGTCGGGTCTGAGCCGCAAATTTATCTTCTTCTTGGAGAGGGACACCAGTTATCAGAGACACGACGCGTGTCTGACGCCCGACAACGCGTTGGGCAGTTGTCATTACGTACAACACTGTCCCATACCGGACGTGATCCGCAGTTTTGACAAATTCCTGTCCTATGTTTGCTTCATTCACAACCGATATGTGGGCGTCTGCTGTCCCGACGACTACTTGGACGACAATAGGTCACCGCAACCCTCACAGCCCGTCGTGTCCGTCGCCCCCACCCGACGACCGAAACAGCCATTGAGTGCGAGACCTACTACGAGACCGCATACCCGACCACAGGTACCATCTGTTGGCAAAGCAAACGATGGCAGCGATTATGTTAACGACAGTCAGTATAGGTTGCGATAAACTTAATTGAATCTAAAGTATTAATTGTTTTGATAATCTCTCTGTCAGTCTGTGGTGTATCAGAAAATACGCGTATTATTGGCGGCGCTTTGGCCGACCCTAAAGACTGGCTTTGGATGGTATGTGTATTTTGGTGAACCTATTTTGTGGCAATAGTTTTTAACTCCTAAAGTACTTTTAAAGTTAAAAATTATTATAAATGATAAATAATTATAATTTTTAATTAAATATTTTAATTGTGTAATTAATTTTGACCAAAAAGGCTGCCATATTGTTAACAAAGGAGACAAAGCCCTACTGTGGCGGTGCTGTCATTACGGAGCAGCACATCCTGACCGCCGCCCACTGTCTTAAAGAGTAACTAATTGAACAACAAATTACATAAATAATTAAATTAATTAACATTTAACCATATCTACCAAAAACACACACAAACAGTGTAACACCGGACCAAATAATCATACGGTTGGGTGCGTACGACTTTAGCCCATCGGCGGCGCCGGAGGCCCAGGACTACGGCGTCGAGTATTTCAAGATACACTCGCAATACAACCGATACACGAACGAAAACGACCTGGCTATTATCAAACTGAGCCAAAAGACCCCGTTCACCGACTCTGTCAAACCCATATGTCTGCCCCAACGTAATCGCGACTACGCGGGACAGTTGGCAGTGGTCACCGGTTGGGGTCACACGAGTTTTGGCGGC